TTACTGAGATTTCATCTCTCCATGATTATATATCACTGTCTGTGCTATTTATACCGCTTTCTGGATAAGAAGCAGCATGTCTCATGCATTGGCTCAATAATCCCATTTCATAACACTAACACACTAACTTCAGCTGTAATAAACCACAGAGAATAACCTGTGTACATGGAGTTATTATGATTATCTTTGCTATGTATGCTTGTGCTGTCCACTGTTTTCTCTATATAAGGTTTTCTCACAGAAGCACAGTTCTCCTGTTGCACTGGAAGAACTGACCTCCAATATTCACAGTACCTCCAGTACTATGTCAGATACTAGCCTGATGATGACTATCGTTACCCTGCAATTAATATGATCTAAACATTATAAGATACATGCTTCTAAATTCACATCTAATCTGTCATAGTTCACCATTATGAAGTAGTGTTAACTGGCTGCTGTGGCATCTGCTCTCAGAGTACTTAATATACAGTGGATTTACCAGCATTGTAGCCACTTCTGTATGTACGAGGAACCACACTTCTCACTCTAATAACATTTTAGGTTCGTACAAAACCACATCTGCTAGATCTTAAGCTGACCACCATATTCTTTTGTGCAAGATGTCAGCTACACTGAGTCAGTGGCCAACCTCGACTCTAGTTCTGTTAATTACCTAGCATGGAAGTAACATATGCTATAACTCTTTGCCAATCCTTTTGCATCTACTGTGCAGTCGATCTAGTATGTTTGTTTTAATTATAATGGTCAATACACCTTAAAATGATCTTGCTGGCTACACCTAAAGCACGTGTTTCTGCCCTCACTTCCAAAGTGACATCCAAGCAGAGGTTTCAACAGCATTGGCTGCAGCACAAGAATCATTGGAGGACCAAGTAAGACTTGTCCATTCAGTTGGAAACATTACATCTGCACTACAACACTGAGGTATGTTGTTGGCTGATTTACCCTCAGTGCAGTCCTAGCTCGACACAAGACACTCACTTCAGCAAAATGGTCATTCTAGATACCTCAACGGAAGTTGTTGCTATGTGATTTTTCCTACTGCGTTACCTGTTTGAAGTTATTAATTCAAACCTCATCACTGTGGACACTGCTTCAGAGATGGTGACAATATTTTTCACTCACCCACAACTGCTCAAGTGGTGCCATCTCATCTCACTAGAACCATGTTAACCAGAAATAGGATGTTTGTACTCTGGCCAGTGATTGTCTGGGAGTCCTATAAAGACTGGCCATTGAATCTTGGACTCGAAAGACTGCACACCACCACAATAATCCTCAGTTGTACGAGCTTCTTGCTTGTTGAAGTCTAACATATGCAAAATATTTGTTATTGACCTAAAAACACCCTTACAGTTAAATAAAAGTGAGTCTCGTTCACGTGGGTGACGTGTATGCCATGGACAACCTGACCTTGTGATTTATTTATATAAGAACATGTTCTCTCAGTTATATAGATACAGATCAGATAAGATATATACATAGGGAGATCACACCACTTAAGGTTTTAAACAAAGATCATAAGTTAAAGTGAATTTTGGAGTGTACAATAAATACTGTGATTATATGAAAGTTTGTGTCCAGTATCTTTATGTTGTAAGACTCAGTCAAAAATAGAGAGATTCAGGGAACAATTGTGTAACACAGTATATAGTGGTCCTCCTATTATTCTGCGGTACTTACCAATTTTACTCTGAACAAAATCAGTGCATCTGAGAATACCACACACATATTATCCTTTTATGATATCCTAATACAGAGATTTGGAGAGAGTTGTCACTATGTATGTATTTTTTTTTTCAATTTGAAATTTTCAATACCAGGAATAAAAGGGGCATTACATTTGATCTCTTTGATGACATGTTGTAAGTAATCAAAGAATTTCAAGAGTGCAATTTATTTTAATTTCTAATCAAATGCTTAAATTTTAATTTAGTCAGAATCCTACATTTTATTTCACATACGACATATATACTAAAAAGTGTGCTGTTATGAGTGCGCCACCCGCTGGCTCAAATATATTCTCCGCACTTTAGGGCCATAAGTGAGCTATTAGATCAGAAAAAGTGGTCCATGTGTTGGCGGTAGGTACTGTTAGTTAACTGCCTTCCATCCAGTCGATCAAGTTCGGGGACAGCTATGCGCAGATATGGTTTATACAACTGATATATTTAAGGGTACTTCTATCGTATGCACGCTCTGTAGGGCACTTTGGTTGCATAATTCTTGACACATTTTATAAGTGATGTTTAGAAAATTGATCAGTATAGTCGTTTCGAGCTCTAGTGATAAATTTCAATATTTTTGGTATGGTAAACACGACTTGAATTTACATAATTGCGATATTCATAGGCATAGCTCTGGGTGTTTGTTTGCAATTAGGCTTTAAAACATTTATTTTTACAAGTTCAGAAACAATATATATCTAACTATGTAAAATTAAATACGGAGCCCAAAATGTGTTTCGATTCATCACTTGCCACTGAATTAAACCACCTTCTCGGTATTCAATAATCCCGGATAAGGACAAATCGAAATAAAAAAAACAAGACTAGGCTGCTTATGGATGTGATATTTGTTCTTGTAATCAAACCAGTGAATCTATAAAAGTTTTGAATAATACATAGCTCTGATGCTACTAACGTATTCTTCTGGATTATTCAGAAGCTGATTAAGATGACATCGGACGATAGATTGGGCTTCTATTTTTGTTTAACAATCTTAAAAAGCGAGTATAGCGCTAGCTGGGGGGAGGAGAGAAAGGTTCAAGAACCAGCACTCCAATAACAAGAACCATTTGGTCTCAAAAACCTTCAATATAACTGTTGTTTTTAATTCACTCTGTAGTTAATGTGCTTTTTCTGTATATTCAGGCTTTAATGCATATCCTACTAACTTTAAATAGGTTTACTGTGGTAAGCCAAAACACTATACATACTTGTCTATTGATGCAGCTTATAAGTTCTGAATGGCATATTAATTGATATCATAGTAAACACTTTGAGGTACCCGTACTTTGTCCAGGTTATGAACTTAGAAAAATGTGGGAGTGGATGGTATGATACATAACATAAATATCCTAACTTTCATACAATTTATTTATAACATAGCATATTATTACAGTATTCATTATTACCTCACCAAAAGTTTTATATAAGCTTTATGAACTCACTCTGCATATACTTAAAACATAATGTACACTACGCGATGGTCAGGGTGATTTTATAGAAAGAGGTAGTGGCTAAACTAATGGCGGTTGGGTTGCTTTCTATTATCCGCTTTCCACACCACTTCTTAATGTCCTTCCACAGTGTTTCACGTTGTTAATTAATTGACGGTCATTGGCTGTCAATAGTACAACAAAACTTTCTGGTATGATAGCGTGCAACAAAGGGCATGTTAGTGGAGGTTCATAACCCCTCCACCCTCCATTTTTGCTATTATTGAGCATTTATTAACTTTGACGTAAGTTAACGTTAACTACGATACATTCATAGATAATGCCACGTCTTTAAACCAAAAACAAAAAAACTATATCAAATTTTCTATTAAACAGCATACACACAATGTGGGGGTAATGGCACACAAACGTCTTATATATCTCAGAGATGCTCTAGTACTCAGTACTCTCTAAGGAGAAATACAATGAAAAAATGGCCGCCACTATTGCAATAATACATTAACTCGGCTAAAGTTTCTACTCCAACAGCCACCATAAAGCTGATATGAAGAGCCGTTTCTTGAATTATACCCACTTCCTACTTTGACCCGTGACCTTAGAAGTTCATCCCATAAGAACTTTTGTTTTGCATTTCTTTAGTTATTAAATTATTCAATTTTAAAACGGGAAAGATAATTTTGGACCACCCTGTATATTAACCAATATTATTCGATATAAGAGTATTTCAAGTGCTGAATGACATATTCAGTAATCATGATACGATAATCATAACGTTACATAAGACTAGGTCAAAACATTCTGTAATAGCAATGTTTTCTAATCAATCTGATTTAAAGTCAAATCTAACATCGCCAGTGATATTTATTTTTCACTTTAAAAGAAAACTACATATTATTTCTCATCTTCCATCAACATTTACCACCTTGAAATAGAGGCGTATGAGTATAGAAATTATTATAAGTGTTCTCTGTTAGAAAGTCAGAAGAAAAAGACGAAACAGGTATCGCAGATGCTTTTTATTAAAACTTCTGAAAATAATACTCTGGGAAAAATAGAGTACCTTTTTAAAAACAACTGTTTAGTTAAAAGAAATATTCTTAGTTTATCCAACTTAGTTAGGAGACTTAGCGATTTTCGCTGTAACGTTATTAATATTATTATATTTAGAAAATAAAATTTTCAACTTGAAATACACTTTACGAGAACGAGGTGTAAAGATGCAGTTAAAAAACTCCCAAAGTTCGAGCAGCCGCCACTAATTTTGGGCTATTGATAAGAGGGATATATATAACTAGTCAGCGGTATCCGCAGTCAAAATGGCCTCTTACAGTTCCTGGAAATGAACACTGAGTAAATGTATGAGAGAAATATATATAAGAGTAATTATATTTTGTATTGTAATTGTTCGTGTGGGTATATATTTTAAATAATTATTCGTTACTGATAAATGTCGAAATAGTTTTGTTTGCAAGCTGTTGGTATATATGTTGTAAATATTTTCGTAGTGTTTGTGGAACATAAAATTAAGAAATGGTTATGTGTCATCAGGGATATTTACCGGTGATTACATGATTATCACTGTTCCATATGTAACACCCCATGGTGTTAAAATATAGATATTTCAGGTAGTTTATTGTTAAGTTATTTTTAGGATTTGTTTGGTAATTATTAGTATTTGGTAACCGTATATAAACATTTCCACGTAAAAGGAATCACGGGAAGAGTGGACCAGCTGTGCTGATTCTCACAGAATCTAGGCCTTGGAATTTTGTCATCGATTACAACAAATGACAAGCAGAAAGATCAAAAGTCAATTAGATTTCTCAATATATGTGAGAACGTCATTATGTAGAAAGATAAGAGGAAAAAAGGCATAAAAGACTTATTTCACTCCTCTCCAGATCAGTTCGAACAATAACGTCTGAGTATCCGAAGAAAGCAAGCCATAAAGAATAAAGGTAAGCTGCAAAAACATCATTATTTGTTATTGAATTATTTATAACAAAATTAAAGAATCCATATTCTTGAATAAATAATAACGTTAAGTCAAATACAATACACAGTCACATATGTGATGTTGCATAACCACATGTGCTGTTAATGACAAGTCTTTAGCAGCAACAAAAGTTGATATTATAAAATAAGTAATAAAAACAGAAGTAGGTAGTGGAAAAATGTTTTAACCTATCTTCATGTTGAAATTTAATAATCTCTATAGCACAGTGTATTTGCGTAAAGTTATGTTTGTATTCAAAATGACATATAGACCAACAAACAGATTTTTAAAGGAAATCTGGCAAAGAAGAAATTAAGTTTGTTTTATTTTTTTATAAACTTGTAGTTTCAACATGAGATTCCATCCAGTGACTATATTATTCTCTTTTGGACCTTTGGTAAACGCTTTAATCAGTAAGTAAAATAAACAAATTTATTTGATAAATAATTTATTAAAACAATATTTTATACAGAGAAAATAAAAACTTGTTACAACCCACGTCACACGAATAATGATGTTATAGACTAGTTTTATTGTTTTTAAAATTTCATTTTGAAAACAGTAGCTATAAACCACTGACTTAGATACACCTCTCAAGTTATTTCAGAATTTTAAATATTCTTTACTTTTGTGTTTTTTGAGATAAAAATAGTTCCGGTCAAGTTGGGGTAGCTCGAGACTTAGATGAATGATGCTTTCAAGATAGCTAATGTGGTGAACATCGGTTAGTTTTTCGTTTATTCAAAAGGAATTACAGAATGGAGATAAAGGTCACTTACACTGTGTATTACTTAAGTCACTTCTTTTATTCTTTTTTGTTGTATTTTTCTAAAACGTAGCTTGCTCATTAACAACAGACACAAAGATGGACATACGGATAAAAATAATTAGTTGTAATGTAGAAATATTTTGATTAGTAGCACAACAAATCCTATCTCATTATATTCCGTAAAGGAACACGTCTGGTGCTCCTCATTTAATTATGATGTTTTTAAGGCCCCCAGTGACACAGCAGTATGTCTGCGTACTTACAACGCTAGAAACCGGGTTTCGATACCCGTGATGGGCAGAGCACAGATAGCCCATTGTGTAGCTTTGTGCTTAATTACAAACAAACAAACAAAATGTTTTTAAGCAAAGAGCGTACGTTTTAAACAAAGGTTTTATCAGAAACCTTTTTTTTCCGGGCATAAAAAAACTTTTTTTTTTTGGTATTTGTTGAAAGATACAAAACTTGGTACGTAACTTTATCAGAGACCCTATGAGGTTCTGAAGCAAACTGTAGTTTAAATTAATTGTCAGCAGTATGTGTTCTAAAAGAAAGAAGCTGTCTTTATTAGGAATAACTGAAAACAAAAAATGTGTTTTTATTCCCTCTTCATGTTAAGACTAGTTTTCAGATATCTGAGCAGACAAACACGGATGGGAATGAGGGACATGAAAATTTGTTTACTTAGAACGACGTAGGTGGAGACTATGATGATATTAGTAAAATGCTCGATTTTCTGGAGCTGAGGTACTTCATCTTTCTTATGGCAACAGAAATCAACTAAAATATATTTGTTTCGTTAGTTCTTATTGATTTTAACATTTGAATTCTATTATTAATTTTCCCTCCATTGTGTTTTTTTTTAAACTTATGACTGTTTTTTTAAACTTATTTCTTTAGACATTTCTCCATTCATTCCTTCTCCTTTCCTCTGAAGCTTATTGACCTTCGGTACAATGATATTAGGTCGTGTGCTAGTTTTACAGTTGCTTGGATTAATATAATAAGCAGTCTTGCATAGACTTGACATTGATGATATCAATCTGTAAAAGAATACAAACACAAAACAACAGACCCATCAGTACTGGGTACTTTCACTTTTTTCATGTTCGATAGTGTTTACGTTCAGTGGAGTTATGTATAACACGAGCGTGGAAATATTGTGGGTATTTCGGATAATGCCACTACCTTCCATCTAGTCTAACAGCTCAAAATTAGAGACGGCTTGTTTAGCTTTGTATATATATCCAAAAAATAATAAATTCTTCATATACACCGCCGATTATTAGCAGTTTAAGCTGAGTAATTATTTTTCTGTCTTTGCAAACGTTATTATGCACTCCCATAGGATTTAGATAGTAAACCATATTTTGAACATCACCAGGTGTTTGAAGTAAACGTGAGAAATGGTTTCTGAATACATGCACATAGTATTTATATCTACAATAAACGGATATTACACTCTAGCGATATAACTGTGCTTGTGGTGGATATTTTTCATTTTAAATGATTGTTATGGTTAGCTTATAAATTGTTTAGGTTTTTAATAGTTGTTTTGTTGTTATTAGTTCCAAGTGAGATAATCACTAGAAACCGAAATGATCTGAGGAATCAACTTCCAGCAAGTGAAGGAAGTTTGTCTGCAGACATGGAAACTTTTAGAAGACCTTTGGTTCATTTTTATCCAATGAAACAAGTAAAATTGCCGGAAGAACTTGTCCAAAAGTTGATGAACACTAATATTGAAGAAGAAATTTCACAAGTCACGAATGATTTGGCTTACCACATGAAGCCTGAGGGTGGCCAAATAGACAATGTAAACATGAAATTGCTTACTTCATCTGACCAGTCGTTAAGTAATTATCTTAGAGAAGTTTTGGATAATTTTAAACAGGTTATGAAAGTTGGACTGCCAGATCTAAACATCCCAGTACTTGATCCAATGAAACCAGATGACATAATTATAGAGAATAGTAAGGGCAGCACACAAATCACTTGTGAAATAAAAGAAATGGTTCTAACTGGTCTATCAAATTACCAAATTGGATATTTAAATGCTAGTCTTATTCCGCCCCACATGGAATTTCAGCTTTTATTACCAAAACTGAATTTCAAAGGAAAGTACGCCTTAAAAGGAACAGCACTTGGGCTTTTCCCATTATATGGAGATGGTCCCGCTTCAATAAGTGTTATAGATTTGAGATTGAATGGTAAAGCAAAGTTTAAAATCGGTCTTGATGTGAAAGTTACTGCGACAGATTTAAAGCTTGACTTAGATTTCCGCAGAATCCTTGTAAACTTCGAAAATTTACTTGGCGGAAATAGTCTCGGCAAATTGTTGAATGCTTTGATTACCGCATTAGGCCGCCCAGTATTTAACAAAATGAAGGTGAAGCTGTTAGATAAGCTTAACGAAAACCTTTTGAATAACATAAATCGACAATTAAATAAATTTGATATTTCTCAGATCATATCAAAGTCGACATAAAGTAATGAATAAACGCCTAGTAGAATGAAAAAAATAATTTATTGTATGGTCTATAATTTCGATAATTTTTTTAACATTAAGCCTCTATTATTGCGAAAGGTGAACATGAATTAATAAAAACTCCAAATAACTAATGGTTATTTGTTTCTTTTTTTCATAATTAAAATATATAACAGGCATTACACATGTTACGTATAACAATTTCTAATAGCCTAAAACTGAGTTAAGTTTATGATATTTGCCAACAAGATTGATACGCACAGTTTTCTTTTTTAATAAATATATGTTTTAATATACAACCAATAATACAATTTCCAATAACAGTTATTACAAATAGTTATTACGAACAATGATTTATATACAAAAGTTTCACAAACTTACAAGCAATATAAAGTCCTCTTTCTAGTCTGGAACTTCCTTGATATCTTATCGAGGGTTGACCATGAGCAAGTTAATTTCGAGTTGACGTAGGTATAATTCTCTTAACAGGAATCTAGCTAGCCCTGTTGTTCTCGTTGATCACACGCCGATTACAGGTCGAGTTTACACCGATGATGTTACGTAATGTTTCCGTAAAAATACTGATGTGAATCCAGTGAAGTTAAATAGTTTGTAATGTTCGAAATTTATAAACGTTCCTCGTCAAATGTCTTATGTTTCCCGATTAATAAGCTTTATAGCAATCACAGTTATAGCTTCCGAAGTTTATAGCATACCAACTATAGCAAACCAATAATAGATACTGTTTTTAGGCGTGTCGCGTTGCTTATAGTTATAGGCGTGTGCAGAGTTTCTCAAAAATTCAGATTACATAACAATATAAAGCTACACTGGCGTTTACGTACACACATATATTGTTGATTTTTACAACTTTAGAGAATAGGCGGGCGTTTCGCAATACATATTTAACAGTATGCGTTATGTACATTTCTAAATATAAACTTAATTTAAACAAACATCGATATTGAAATAAATATAGAATAATAAATCCGTCACACAAACCACTACAACTCTTTAGTTTTGTCCATTTCATATCCTTGAATCAAAATAAATGATATTTTCTGTTACTCTAGCAATCATTATTGCATAACAAACGTTAGGTTTATGACAAAATACTCTTACTATTAAGACAAAGTGATATAAAGCTATAAAAATGTTAGTTTTCATTCACATTTCAATTACAGAAGTTAACTACGTTGTATTAAAACCATTTCGGAGCCTCACTACGTTGGTACAGTAATTTCACACGTCCAATTATACTTTACCTGACGACCATTGTTTTGACAAAAGCCCTGAAGCGTAGTTTCCACTGCAAAGGGCGGTCTATCGTAAAGTTGTCAAGTGTAAAGCTGACAACGTCTTCCTGTTAGCTTTCCATAATTCATCAAGTTTACAAGGAGCGATCTTTTCTCAACGCCAGTTTCGACATTCCAATTTTACAGAAATTTGTAGGTGCTGCATTCGACGACTTTACCAGTATGTCTTTTATAGCATAGCACGAATATCTGTTTCATTTTCCAGCTGGATTAGGTATTCGACGATTGAACTGGAGATATGGCTGGAAGCCTTATCTTGATGAACCCATATCATGTTGACCTCGTTTCCAGATGGAGAGCTTTATCGCTATGTTTCCTACTGGTGTCTAAAACACGTTGATGACTTTTGTCACCTACCTTTACTTACTACGTCTGGTATACGACATGCTGCAGGTCTGTTTCTGGAAGTTGCCCCAAGTTGTTCTCCTTTAAGTTGAAGGGATATCCCAATCTTGGATATTCTAAATCTCCGATCTGAACATATCTTTATTATGATGAATCAAGATAGTGGTTCATAATAGGATCGCAAGGAGTTGCACAAAATTTTAATAGAAAGTTCGGGCAAAAAGCACCTAAATAGTAAAGATTCAGTTCAAACAACACTCTAAACCCTATATTGTTGACTGCTAAGGCTGCACACTTATAAAAATACACAAAAAAAGCACGCATGTTAGACTTACAAGGAAAACAAAATCGCTCAAAACGGCCCGTTTGTAATTCTTTTTCTTATTCTCTTGCCAGCCTACAACAAAAATGGCTTAATATATTGCATTCAATCCTTTTGTAGAATACTAAATAAAGTACTGCGAAGGTCGTAGGTGTATTGAAAAATCGATTTGTTTCTTCTATATTGTACAATAGTTAAAATACATCACAATTCCCCTATTTTGGCTCCATGCTGTTACCTAGAGTTACATTTGTTGGAGTCAAAATGGGGGATTTGTAGTTTGAATAAATAATGTCTACAGTATCCCCAGCCATTGGCTGGTAATTCTTGTTTCAGCCTGTACTCCAGCTAACTTTAAGGGATAATGATAACATCGTTCACACTAATTTGTAGATTGAGTAAATAATGTCTACAGTATCTCCAGCCTTGTTTCCGTACTTGTTTATGATCCCTATTTGCAGGTTTTTAAATCCCCAATTTTTTATTTATCTTATCTATAAGTATAAGCATCTAAAAGGTATGTTACATACTCTTACCAAATATGAACAACGTTCAGTGCACATTGCCTATGAAATGACAAACAATGTCGAAATGTAATTGATACAAGGCGTTCTACCGCGACCTCATACTGGTTTTGGGTATCACCTCATAAATACAGCCACAAGACTCTGTTCAATTGAAGAAATCAACCACATAAAGCACTCCTTCATTCACACCAATAAATTTTCACCAGCTATTGTTGAAAAACTCTCCAACATTCCCCACAACAAAACTCAACTCATGAACAAAATTGATACTAACAGAATATTACACTACAGTTTACCGTTTGTTCCTGAAACCAGCTCAAGAATTATCCACACTTGTACAAAACTAGCCATTAAACTCAATATTCCTGTCAACGTCAAATTCTCACAAAAAAAACCGGCCCTAAATTAAAATCTTTACTAAACAAAAATTATTTAGAATCACACAATACTAACGTCAGTTACAAAATAACATGCAATAACTACCCAGAATTTTATATCGGAGAAACAGGAAGAAAATTGGAAACCAGATAGACAGAACATAATAAGAACCGTCCTATGGTTTCCACCACTGCAACTTAAAAAACCATAGTATATCTATTAAAAACACAGTAATTTTAAACAAAGAACTAAACATAAACAAACGAAAAATCAGGGAAT